ACTAAATAATATAATAATTAATTAATAAGGCTTTAGATATATTATTAATTTGATACGTATCATATACTAATTTTTTACGAATAATCATATTTTCAAGCAATTGTTAATTTTTTACTAAATCTAGTAATATCAAATATTCTAATTAGCTGACGCCAATTTTATTATCGTAGATATAATCTTTATAGAATATCTACGATGAATAATTGTTAATTATTTATTACTAAATTGATTAAATTTGACAATATCAAATAATTTATTTGTCGTGAATTTGGCAACCAAAATGATAAAACTGAATTAATAATAATTTTCCATAATATCTTCGTACTTTGAATCATTTTCTTCTTCAAAATCTATTTAATTAAATAAATTTAATAAAATGTATATATTTATTTAATTAAACTTAATCTAATAATTTATTGTTATCGTACATTTTACTATCAAAATTTTATATAACTTCATCTTCTTGGTAATTGTGGTGCCTTATATCATTTTCGTCATCAAAATCTATTCAATATATTTAATTTAAAGTATTTCTACGTTAATACCTCTTCTAATATTTCATTTAATATTAATTTAATCATTTCAATATTAACATTAGTAGAACCTTAACCCATGTGTTATTCGATGTTTGTACATAAACTAACCTTCACTTCCCTGCCCTTTTGTTGTCGCACCACCTTCAGGCTGAGGCTGCTCCTGGTGCAATTGGCGACGAAGCTGGTAAGTTACCGCACATCACCGCCCGCGCGGTGACGACGCGCACTGCCACTACACACGAAGATTTAGGGACAAATGCCAGGCGGCAGCAGTTGGAGGAAAAAACGGTCGCCCATACCACCACTTCTTCGGCGAATAGGCAGGAACAAAAAGTTGTTACGCAGGAAGTGAAAACGACCAGCACGGTCACCAGTGCGGATCAGGTTAGATACACTAGATGGAAATTATTAAAGTCGCTTCATATTATTTTGATTATTATAATTTTTCAATATAAAAAAATAAAGATAATATCATTAATAGTAGTAGCAGATTGAGAAGAAATTGAACGTGAAATGTTGTAAAAATAAAAATTCTTTTTATGTTTCGATTTTTTTAACTTTTATTTTATGTAAGGTGACCATAAAATCAAAAATGAAAATTTTTATATATCTTTACGTTTCAAAACCTTCTGAACATTCTGGCATACCTTAGAAAAAATGGATGTATGTGTGTGTGTATGCGTGTGTGTGTGTGTGCGGATACAAATTTTTGTCAACGATTTCGGGAACACGGATGAAGCGATTTAAATAATTCAAAAAGCATTCGATTCGTATTGATAAGGAGACGTGCTGATTAGTTTTTGGCGAAGGCAGGTCTTGCCGTTCCGAAAATATGCAGCAAAAAGTGCCAAAAACGGTAACTCAGTTTTAAGAGAACATTTCACTTGTATTAACAAGATGAAGAACTGATCAAGTTTTCATGAAGGCAGGTCTAGCGGTTTCGGAGATCTACTAAAAAAAGTAAAAAAAATACCATTTGGCGGTCAAAAATGATCATTGGACATATGCACATCAAATTATTAGATATTTTATAGAGATTTTAACAATAAGTATAAATTTTGTTTACATTCCTATGGGTTTCGTACCAATGCTTATCCGTTAGACGGCGGCGCGGCGCTTACGCGCTTCGATATTTGTCTCTATGCAGTTAAAGCAATACGATTGCTTTCAAAAAAAGTTCAAAATTTCCAAAATATTTCAAAATACACTTTTCTTCAAAAATTCTTTTCTTCAAAAGAAGTAAATTTTTGTCAAAAATTTATAGTTTATCAAAAATCTAATTTTTCAGAGTAAATTTGTTTCAAAAATGTTGATCTTTCTAAAAAAAAAATAATTTTTGGTACGGGAAGTTCCAGCAATTTGCCTTAAGGCACGATGCCATGCGCCCCACTAGTTTGATTATATTTAATACTTTTTCATATATGATATTATATTATATCTTATATTTTTTATCTATATGTTTTATCGCTTTTGAGCCTTGTATAAAATTCTATTCAATTTTCTTCATAATTATTTTGAAAAAAATAGCCCATGTTGGTTTATCTTCATAATTTTTGTTAATTTACCTATTAATTTTTGAAAAACTGGGACTATCCGGGACAAAAGATCTAAATTCGGGACAAATATTGCTTTTGGAAAAACCCGGGACACAAGTGGAAATCCGGAACAAACCGAGACGTATGGTCACCTTAATGAATGATAGATAAAATACCTATTATTATTAACTATTATACATAACATGATCATAACAACGGAGATTAACGTTTACAACATAATTTTCTAATTATTATCACCTAATATTATCATTAATTCTAAATCATGGGGCTCATTTACCCAAGGTAAACATTTTATAACTTTTGTTCAGATATAGTTTAATTTTTTTTTCATTTAATTTATCATTTCCTATTTTTTGTTTGCATGTTTTTATGTGTGCATTTCTGGTTTGATCTGCATGTGCTATTTGTGTGTAATACAAAAAACACAAAACGCAGTTCAATCGAAGAGGAAGCATTACATCGTCCAGCAGTGGTGACTCTGGTACACCTATTGATTTTGATTCCTCATTGCCACAGGTAACTAAAACAAATATTATTGATAAAATATGATTAGCCTTTGAGGAATATATTGGTTTTACTATTGTTATCATATTACTAGTTGTATTTTTAATTTTATAATTTATACTTTGTGTAACATGATCAGGTAAGAGTTGAAGCTTCCATTTAGCATGGACATTGTTGTATGCAAGTTAGAAAGCTCATATCATTTATTTTTTAAGCTTGCATGATTTTCTCAACATATTTGAGATCATGCTCTAATTGCATTTAGCATTGGCTAAATAATTAAGTAATCCAATCTAGAACTTAATCGTTTTGCAATTATTTTTTATTCGATATGTATGTTTAACTCCACAGGACGGTTCTCTTGTGAAATCTAATGTATCTGGTACCCAAGACATTGATCCATCGAGAACTCAGGAGTTTATAGGAGGTGTGCCAATAGTTTCTACAGAATCTCGCAGAGTTGTCCTAGGAGAAGATGGTGAAGGTTACATTGTCACCGGAGAAATTGTATCATCCCAAACCATCAGTTCCAAAACGAGGACCGTCGAAACAGTCACGGTAAAAGAACTACAATCACCTTTAATTTATTTGCTAAGAAAAATGGGAAAAGAGCATAATTGAATTCTTATTTTCTATATGTTACCTTTATTATAATATAATCTTTTTGTATAGTACAAAACTGAAAAGGATGGAGTAGTAGAAACCAGAGTGGAACAAACAATAACGATACAGAGTGATGGTGATCCAATCGACCACGATAGAGCCTTGGCTGAAGCTATTCAGGAAGCAACTGCTATGAATCCAGACATGACTGTTGAAAAAATTGAAATACAACAACAGGCGGCACCCCAATAGAGAGGAATTATTAGTAAGTAAAAATTAGTAAGTCTTTTTTAGTACCTAAATACAGAGAAACATAGTACACAATTGACAAAGAACACAAAACAAATAAGTGATCAAAATCAATTAATCACTGATTAATTAATTTTCTCCCAAATGATTATTTTTACAATTGAGTAATATTAAATGCTACACCGAGACAAAAATCTATACCTGTAAATATTTTTCTTGCAGGTTGCACGTGAATTTGAATATTTAACAAGATTTTAAATATGAAACAAGAAAATTTTAATTTAAGTCACAAATAATTTAAATGTATATTTTGTTATAAATATACATACAATCGAAATACTAATATAAGATTTTATCTTATTCTTCAAAATATATTTCATTGTCTATTCATGCTTGTCATTTTATGACCTGTTCATTTATAAATAAGTAAAATATACATACAACATTATTTTTATTTGAAATTATAAATATTTGATCACTTATATATTAATATATTTTATTTTTCACTAGTGTTAGGGATCTCTTTTGTTATATTTTTTAATTATAAATATTTATATAAAGATTATAAAATTAGTATTCCAGATTATATATAATAAGAGAATAATTTTTAAAAATGTTTGATCCAGTGAAAAGATGAAAGTTAAGATATATTTAAAAACATACTAATTATTTATATTTAAACTTGATGGTTTATTCAATCAGCTATTAAAGAATATGCTGCAACTTTTTTACGTTTTGCAAAGAAACATTTTTGTATGATAATAAGTATTTTATTTTATATTTTTAAAGTAAATAAGCAAAACAATTTTAGATAATATCTTAAATTAAAACCACTGCCTTTCAAAATATGTATAATTTAAATATATGCATTAAATTTTGCTATTATATATTTCCTTGATGGCTTTCGTTGTGCTAGATATCTAATTTGTAACTTATTTAGTACTGAAATATAATTCAGTACACTCATCTACTCTCCAAAATATTTAGCAAAATTTTTCACATATTTAAATTAAAAAGAATAAAATACATTGAACAAACATTCCACATTTTAAAACACAGAGTTGCGTTTAAACTAATTTCAATTCGAATCAGAGAATTAATGATACATTTTTAAAAAAGAAAGATATTTATTGTAAAGATTGTAAATAAATCTAATAAATCATCAAAGAAAATACAAATATATGTTACCCGAGAAGAAATCATTATTTATGAAAATAGAGTTTGTTCAATAAATGAATATTCGAGAGCAGACATATGAGAAAAAAAGCTTAATATACAATTGTCTATAATAAGATTTTAGATAATATCATATTTGTATATATATATATATATATATATATATATAATATATATATATATATATATATATATATATATACAAATATGATAAATGCATATATGCACACATGTATGTAAAAAACATTTATTTAAAGCTTAATAATAAAACATTTTAATTTGATTGAATGTTTAATATTTACACTATTGATTTCAATTCTATTTTTATATCATAGAACTTAAGTTTAGAGAAATGTTAGTAAGAGCATAATGTTACTTATTTATTAAATTTTGGAGCGACAGTCCTTGCACTGCCTCTTAACTGTTGGCGTAAAAATCCTGGCAATTCATTACTTGGCACTAAAGGTAATAAATAGACAAAATAATACAAAGTTTTAACATAATATTAATAGGTATTTAATGGACTCACAGCTGTTCCAAGATATATATGAAGAATTATTTGGCAACTCATTGAAATCTTCTGCATTCATATTAATATAGGTTTCAATATTATCTTCACAGAGGGATTTTCTTAAATCTTGGTATTTTTCATGTGACTGTTGTTTGGCTCTAATTTTGGCCTTTGCTTGGTTTTCCAAAAGTTTGTTTAAGCTCACTCTGGATATTTGAGATACTGGCTTACCATCGAGCATTTCTGGCAGAAAAGGGTGAATAATATGAGAATGTATCAAAGTTAAAAGTAATTAAATTGAATTCAAATTATTAATGGAATGCAGAATAAATCAATTAGTACCTAATCTATGTGAATTGCCAATTATGGTATCTTTATATCGCCTGAGTTTTGTGGCCGGACATCTCTTAAATTCAGCCTCTTTTAAATATAACCAAGATTGCAAGCATTCAACAAAATCATCAGCACTTGGAAAGAAATTATCATTTGCTCGAAGAACTTCCAACTTTTGCAAAGGTTTCAAGGGCAGTATTGAATTTATACCTGTTCCTGAGACATCTATCAGCCGAAGATTCTTAGAGGTAAATGATATTTTTTATAATTTAGAGTATAGAGTAGCATAGTTTATTAAAACATAAATGGCTCACATTAAGACAGTACATGGTTCGTGGATCAAAGCACATTGAGCTACCTGGATTCAATATTTGTCTTTGAATATGCAGTTCCTTAAGCAATAGATTATGTTCTAAACCTTCTAAGACACTTATTTTATTATGTCCTATATATAGTTTTTCCAAATGAATCAATGATTCTAAGTTTTCTAATTTAGTTATAAGATTACCTGTATTAAAATATAAATGCATGTCAATTAAAGAGTAAACGTATACAATATTATCATAATTAATTTTTATAAAACCTTGTAAATATAATTGTTTTATTGTCGGTGCTCCGCCAAGATTATCAATTTTAAAAATTAAATTATTTTGAAGATATAACACTGATAAATTCATGCAAACCGATATGTCTCCCTTTAAAAAATAATTATATATATTATTTTATTATCAGAATTAAATTTAAATTTAAAATAAATATGATTTACACTTACAATAATTCTTATATTTTTATCATTTAGATACAAGTGAGTAAGTCTTCTTATACAATCGGCTTTACTTTCAGATTTATGAGGCAGAATATTTTTGGAACCAACACTTTCAATAAAGTTTTGACTCATTTTCGAATTAAGTATTTATAAAATTATATAAAGTGTGTTGATAAAATATGTTTTGGGGAGATTTTTTAATCAGATAAAAGGAAACAAACAAATAAAAATTATCACTATGGAAACCACATATTTAGTATGTGTATTTACTATTTCATACAAGTTGATCTGATATCACTCAATTATGATAATCAACATATAGATTTATATATTCAATTTACATACTAACTATGAAGACACAACCGCAGCTACGGGTATATAAATAAATATACACCTTTGTATTTTCGATTTTCAAACAGCCCGCCATAATAGATTTGAATTCATATTCTCTTATGAACGTTTGACGTACGGGTCGGTGGCGCCATCTAACACAGAACCATATGAACCCGGTAGTCACTACGTAGTTCCTCAAGAACTGGAACAATTTTGATAGAGGCGCTGCATGCATTCGCCTTAGAATCATAGGAATCTTATTGGATTCCTTTTGTCGCAAGAACTGTCAATGTTAGTTCCTCAGAACTGGGAACAAATTTGCATAGAGGCGCTGCATGCAATCGCAGTAGAAACTTAGGGATCTTATTGGATTCCTTTTTAACCCTATTATATATAATTATGGTCCCGGTTAGGAGAAATATCAATATATACATTTATATATCGCTTTATACGCCCTAGATATATAAGTATCGTCCCGGTTTTGAAGGAATTCATATATACATTCATATGTCGCTTTATAACGCCCTTAGATGTATAATTATGGTCCCGGCTTTAGAGAAATATCAATATATACATTTATATATCGCTTATACGCTACTAGATTATAATTATGGTCCCGGTTTTGAAGGAATATCAATATATACATTCATATATCGCTTTATACGCCCTTAGATATAT